TTCACGTAATTCGAATCCGCATCAACAACGGTAAACGTATGGTTCGTGATTTTGAAAAAGAGTTCGTCATTGAGCGCAGCATTGATCAATCGAAGCAGGTATGTTTTTCCGGGCTTCACCTTAAGCCGAAATATTTCTGCATATTGATCAAGGTAGTCAACTTTGCAAGATCAAATGAGAAAATAAAATCGTATAGAAGTAGTATGATCTTAAGGAATTGGGTACTTACCGTTTGGGGAAGAACAATTGTACAACGGTCCAGGCAGGCCGTTGATCGTATAAGCGTCTGAATTATTTGGGCCAGCTCCGGTCTGAAGGGCCTGATTGATCACAGCCTCCGTGTCGGCCTTCCACCACTCTCCTGTCAATCAAAACGACTTCATTTAGTGCAAGAAAACGATCGTGGATCCAAACATTRAAAASCAAGCTTCTGAAAATTACCGAACATAATGGGGACTTCCTTGTAAGGCTTAACAAAAGGGTACGAAGTGTTATGCCTTGGTAGAATGATGATTGGGCCGTAGAGGGTTGTCCGAATCCACGAAACATGGGCATGGTACCAAAGTGTTCCCCTTTGTCCGGTTATCGTGAAGTTGTAAACGTATGATTGGCCTGTTTGTATCGGGCATTGTGTTATGTAAGCTGGTCCGTCAGCCCATCCACTCCTAAGCTGTCGAATTCCATGCCTGCCCTCATCAAACAAAACCATTCGAAATCAACAGCAGAAAGAAACACGTGGGCACATGTATATTCTACAATCGTGTCATCGAATTCGAATTGATAAGAAACGGAAACAAAAACAAAAACAAAAACGCACCAATGGATACTGATATTGTTCGAGACATGGTTAACCACTTTAATCACCACTCGGTCACCTTCCCTAGCGATAATCCTCGGCCCTGGGAATTTCCTGTTGACGGTTATAATGCTTTTCGTCTTACACAACCTCGTCACATTCCGCACGCGTATCTAAAAAGCAAGCACAAATGTAAGATAAATCATACAAGTAGAACCGTAATCTGTAGCAACCTGCATCAAACTTACGTCAAACTTATAGTTTCTCGTGATGCCGGTGGCGGCATGTTTAGCCATTGCCATGTGAGGGTACAAGCAGGCAATGCATGCAAGCAAAAGAAAAGCAGCCAAGAAAGTTGATTGCAGACCCATGTTGTACTTTGGTTGGTAACTGGAATGATTTGAAGAAGAATTGAAGGGTAGTAGTCTATATATAGGGATATATATGTATATATGCATGTAGAACACATAACAGTTACCTACTGCATGTGGCCCAATTATGCCATGGAGTGGTGTTAAAGTCAATTCATTTGATTTTGACTTATATGACCATATTACCCCCATGTAAAGGTGTTGAGTGAGTAAATTTGCAGGGCATTTTGGGGAATGGAAGTAGGATTTATAATTGCAAGTGTTAATCTTGTTTATAAAGACAACACAGAAGGTTAGATGGAGTTTAATGATGAATGTTGCAGAGTAGGGTTAACGGGTTAGGTTGTGATGGTATAAATTCGACCAAACAGAGGCCTTAACAACTTGCATTTCAAATGACCAATTAAGAAGACGACATCGTACCCACCTTCCTTTTAAGCAAAAGTAATCAAATCATGACATCGATGGAACTTCATTTGGTTTTCTAATATCAAACACCATCCTGCTGAGAATAGTGTCGGATGGGAGAAGGGAAACACCATCCTCACGTGGAATCTAGTTTATCCTATATTTGATTATATTTATTTGATATTAGTTATACGAATTCAGACATAAAGTTTTAAGAAGTTATACCTATATAAAATTTACTTATAAATTTATATTTCAAGTAATATGTATAAAAAAAATACTTGATGTATAAAAAATGGTCTTTAAGAGTTTTTTGTTAAATGCTTTATAATATTATATATATATATATATATATATATCTTCTTTAACTAAAAACACAGTAAAAATACATGTTTTATGTTATAAATTACACATTTAAAAAGTTCTATCAATACCTTTAAAATGAGTTAAGTATTGAATATTTTTAAAATTCTATGCATCTTACCCAATATAAATCTGCAAATTCGTTTACAATAATCCAAAAAAGCATTTTTTTAATGGTAAGTTGGGTTAAAAAAATGTATCATGTTTTCTTGTTTATGTAAGATGAAAATCATTTTTTTTACTTTTTTATTAACCTGGATATCCAACCCGCTATGCGAGCCGACTAATCCCAGGACAACCACCAGCTTTGTAGATAACCTAGAGTCATCGCATTTGAACCTCCGTGGCCATAAGGAGATTTTTATTACTCATTGGATTTGAACATGTGACCTCCTGATATTTTTGACCTTTGGAGCCAAGCTCAAACCAATCAGACACCATCCTTGTGGTTAAAAATCAAAATTTATTTATGCCTATTAATAAAAAATGTATCATTTTCAGATATTTCATTTATTAAATGTTTTTTTAAATATTTATCAAAAATACTTTTAATATAATAATTAATTTTTTCAAATATAAACTTGAAGTTTATCATAATAAAAAATAAATAACCAACTAACAAATCATACATTCTCATTGTATACTAGAAAATATTTATCTACATTTCTTTACTTTTAAAAGAATTACAATTTTTAATTTCAAATATAGTTTAAATATTTAATTTTGTTCGAATTTAATATAGTTTAAGTTGCTAGGTATTTTAATGAAAATTATCATTCAATTAATTAATATAATAAAGTGTATAAAATGAAAAATAAAATTATTGGTAGGAAAGATAAAAATGGAAAAAAAACAAATGATGTAAAGACTGAGAAGTAAATAACGTAAATGGAAATATATAGAAAAGTAAATTGCTGAAAGTGAAGTGCGAGAAAGTAAATTGCGGGAATATAGATCGTGAGAAGGTAAATTGTGGAAATATAAATTGCCAGAATGTAAATAACAGTAAAATAGAGTGCATGAAAGTTAAATAGCAGTAAAGTAAATTGTAGAAATGTAAAGCTCAAAACGGTAAAAGAAAGTAAATAGATTGAAATAGAACTGCATGGTTACTACAGTACTTAGTAACTTGGGTCGCAAGCTATGAAATTTACATGACAGGTTACGTCACAAAAGCAAACACTTGTATTCAATACACTGGAAAACAGATTTTAACTATGGGAAACTAATCACGAGTCCCAAAGGATTAGAAATCCAATGTATTCCATGAGAACAGATCAACTCTGAAAATAATCCAAAAATCAAAATAAACATGTAACCAAAAATTGGATGAAGTAGAGAAGGGATTTTAAAACAACTGTCTTTGATTAATACCGAGAATCAAAAACAATAACTTCGACTCTTGGATCAGTTATATTTTTGGTGTAATGTAACTCTTGTACTCATGAAACCTGATTTAATTTTATTTTTTAATGTGTATCCCTGGATCAGATAAGAAGAGATTATTAACAGTGTAACCATTGATAGGTAATATTATAGGTTGATACAACGTTTTCGACTATTGTATCGCTTGGGACCAAAGATTAGTTCAAAATAGTATTCAATTGATTTGATATCACCATTTTTGGTGTATGATTGTAAAGAGTAGTTAATGTAGGTGATGCTAATGCACACTTTTGGATTTGGGAGTTGTTTAGTGTACAGGTATATGTGGTTCCCAGGTTATAAAAATCGTCAAATGACGTGTTTACGAATAGGTCATGTCGAATTCTTTCTAGAAATTTAGTCTAAAAATTGGGGTGTTACAATCCCCCATATATATATATATATATATATATATATACACACACACACACACACACACACATAGGGGGGCCTTTTGAAAACCCATAAAATTATGATAACTTTAAGAACTAATGCATCGATCATGTCCTATTTCATATGATTTTCTAAAACAAAAATTAAATTTAGAATATCGATTAAAACACACACACACACATATATATATATATATATATGTAAACTTCAAAATGTGTTTTTCTTCATATGTTAATGCAACTTCAAGATTCATACAACAGTTTTTCAATTCATCATCATTTAAGTAACAAATCTCATGTCATGTTCTATTTAAGCCCAACTAATAATGAAAATGAACCCATAGTAATAGAACATATGATCAAAATCAAATGGCCAGGCTCAACAAAACGAACTTAACCAAATTTTGTTTTGTTTTCTTCTTGATTTTTCCAGCCATTTTTGGTCGATTTTCCTGCTTTTGATATTATAACAAAGACAAGATAAATGTTGACATTTTGATACCAAAATCACTAAAAACCATAGAAAAGTAAGCTTTAATTTCATCTTCTTATTTCTAGGGTTTTTTTTCCCCAAGTTTCCACCATTACAATATTAGGCAGCAAGTGAGCAACCATTATCATAAGAGAGCTTGTATCAATTATAAATACAATGAAGACATAATGTCAAAATTAATCAATTAAATGTTACTATGTTATCACTTAGAAACAAATCATACCTTGGTTTGCGAAACAATGCAATCGACTTCCACGGTTCCACTTCCAGTTCCAGAATCCAGATTTGAAGAAATACAAATGCAGACTGTATCTAGATTTGAATGATTGAGATTTGAGAAACAATGAAGGACTGAGATTTGATAGTTTAATCCACAATCGTGTATTCGAGTATATATAGTTGAGCAGTCGGCAATGCATGGACTGATCATCAAAATCGATCCATCGTCCCATGGACAGTCGTTAGACTCGTTACCTTTAATCGTCTTCCTCTAGAACTGGAACGTCATTGTCAAAAATCGAAAAATTTGAACACTCAAAGAACAATAGAAATCGTCAATTTCAAATCGCCAAAGTCAATCGTCTTGTTAACTGTGATGCGTCTATCCCATTGTTACCAATTCAAGTACTTGGGCTTGTTATTAATAGGTCTGTTCAGTTGGGCATCTATTTATAATTAAAGCCCAAGTCTTAAATTATTAAACCCAAAACCCAAAACTAGTACTATATAAAAATTTGATGCCCCTTTGGGCTTTGATTCCCTATGTGGTCGCATGGGCTGCACGTTCCCAGGGTTGGGCCTCCTAACCATTACTAATTCTCTTGTTGAACAAGATTAAAGGTATATCTTACTAACATCGTGTTCATAACTATAAGACGTTCATAAGAATGTGTTTATAACCAGATGGTATTCATAGGTGCTTAATAGATTGTATTCAGAACCATAAAACGTTCATAAAATTGTGGTAATAACAATGTGTTGTTTATAGGTGTTGAATAAGATTGTTCGTAGGTGTTAATATGACATGATCTTTTCCACAAATACTCTGTTCAAGAATGTTCATCAATGTTTATTTCTCTTAAGTTTTTCATTTATTACAAATATTTCATGATTAATTTAATCCATAGATTTCAAGAATTTAGGGCTAAGATTGATTCCCGCAGTTACCACTAATCATTGGGTTAATAAAAGAACGAGCTATATATATATATATATATATATATATATATAGAGAGAGAGAGAGAGAGTTTGTTTCAAATACAACCCATTGCATTTGTACAACCAATGCAATCCAATAAATTGAGATATTTATGGAAATGATGAGAGTTCATTTATTATGATTTGAATATTTATGGAAGATGCATATGTTTCATTAATTATGATCAATACTTTATATTATGAAACAATCAAAACTTCTATGTAATCACATATTAATAAAATGAAATGGAGTGTTGAGATTGAGTTGTATTGGTTGTACAAATGACAAGGGTTGTATAATAACCAACCTCTATATATATTATATATATATAGAGAGAGAGAGCGCGCTAAGTTCATTTGTTAACCATGAAAAAAGTATGAACTACGCAAACCATTTAAACTAATCACAAACTTTTGTCAGATTAAGTTTTTCTATCACCATACAATTAATATTGATGACACAATTGTAATATTCTTTTTTTTTTTTTCTTAACTTCACATTCATAATCGAGATATACAAACATGGTTGAAGATTGTAGATCACAATACAAGAATATTGAAGATCTTATGATTAGTAAGTATTGTGTTCAAATGTGAAAGTCAATAAACTAAGTAGTGGCCAATGTTCATACGGTGTTTATATATTGTTCACATGTGTTCATAAAACAATATCTATATACATCTAACACTTTGATCATATATTATTGTGTTCACATGTGAAA